AGTTGGCAATAGAGATCTGTGTCTTGATGTTACCAGTCTTCCTCTGTCCCCAGGCTTGTAGCGCGACAGCCGTATTTCTCAAGAGCGCATCCATCCTCTTGAAAGGATCCACTATGTTCTCGTCACATACCCATGCATCCCGAACAGCTTGATCAAACCCCTCTAGTTTGGTCCAGTACATCTCGAAACGGAATCTTCTCTTGTGGTAGAAAGGAGCTGAAGTAGACAGGTGGAGCGGGGCATGGTCCGAAATGTTAGTGGACAGAGCTTGGAGGAGGACATCCGGATGAGAAAGCTCCCAGTCCACAGTCACCAACACACGATCGATCTTTGTCATCACCGGTTGATCCCTTTCATTTGTCCACGTGGATCTCCGGTCGTGCATGTAAACCTCCTTAAGTTCATTATTGTCCACAAACTCCTTAAATCTCCTCATGATTCGTCTGTTGATATTATTGTTGCTCTTGTCCTCCGCCCGAAGAATCATATTGAAGTCTCCCAAAACCATCCACGGCCCAGGGCAGGCCGCGCGCAAAGCATGAAGATCACATAGAAATTGAGTTTTGGGGCCCTCTCCTTGCGGCCCGTACACCGCCGTGACCCACCAAGTCAATCCTCCCTTGTCATGAACGAGCCCTGTGATAGAGTTGGTGTCGCTCACGATGTTATGCACGGATAGCACCGTGCTATCCCAAGCAAGTAGGATGCCCCCACGAGTCTCCTCAGCCGGCACATAGTCAAACCCATCGAACGATGGGCCAATGCATTGCATAACGATGAAAGGATCGAATACATCTAGTTTCGTCTCTTGGAGACACACAAGGCTAACCTTGGTCGTCACTACCAACTCCCTGACTGCATGCTTCTTGGCAGGGCTATTAAGGCCCCTCACGTCCAACACAACACACGTGGGTTAGGATCCATGATATAGTGATGAGGACCGCGCACTACCAAACCCAACCATCAAGCTGGGGTTGCCACCACCATGTTGCCGGCCCTCAATTCGCAAGCCGGAGGGACCTCCTTCCCAAACAGGGCGGCGAACACTTTGATATGCTGCTCGCGGAGAGGGGTGTCGAAGATGTCCGCAAGCTCAGCAATTGAGTCCTCATTTCCTTCTAAATCTTCCGGGACCAGACCTAGTGCCCGCATGAGCACGTTCTCCGCCTATGTAGCCTTCGCGGGAATCGACGACATCGCGCGCTTGGCGCCTCATGTAGTACGTCATGGCATGAATGGTTCTGCTTCCGGTCTCAGCGATGATTGCACTTCCTGAAGGAGAGGGGGTGCCAACTTACGGACAAGGGCATTGCAGAACCACTTCAGTTTTCTGAAAGCAGCGACCTCCTGTGGCTTCATGCCACCATTGCATGCCAACTCCACGCTTTGCATGTCGCTGTTTATGTGAGGAATTAGCTGGGCGGCCTCGAACTCCTGCATGGACGCCACTTGTCCAGGGGCCCCCTTGTCCCCGCCTGTTTGGGCATCCATGCCAATCATTGGCACCAACTCACCCAGCGAATTAGCCTGGGCACTGATCCCCACAGATCCTCCACTTCCCTCCTGGTCTTCGATGGGCCCGTGTGGGGCTGGCTCCAGCGTACACCCAATGGGATCCTGTGTGGAGGGCGAGATCCCAACCTGCATGTGGCCCTCCATGCCTCCCAATACTGCTGCATCTTTGTCTCCCCTGTCGCGTGCCTCCGACCTGGGATCCAGTCCCGCACCAACCACCAAGGTGGGGGCCACTACAATCGCCACCTCCTCCGTCGTGGGGCCATCCAGCTGTGGCGACACCACTGACCCGCCAGTCCCGCCCTTGGTCATGTGTGGTCGGGCTGCCAGAAGCCGTATCTCCTCGGGTTCAACGTCTTTATCCATCAGGGTCGCATCAAATCGCGCGTGGGAGTCCATCAGAACTGCTTGCTGCATGATTGGTACCGAAATCGTCGCCCCCTCTCCAAAGGACCATTCTGGAACCACCTGTCCCACCACCTGCCTCCTCGAAGCGCACGCGCCAGTGGGATTCGAAATTCGAATTGTCCCCGTGGCATCCTTATCCACCTGTCCGGGCCCAGAAGCGATCCGGTCAAAAGCAGACTAACGCATCGTCAGCCTATCGTGGGCGCGGACCCCGGCCCCACCACGACATCTCTCTCTAGCCTGGGCCATGGGGGCAATCTTCCACTCCGACGATGGCGCTCCGCCGCGGGCCACGCCGCCGGCATAGCTCCGGCCACCTCCCGTCCCTCCGGCATTGTCGCCCCTCGAGTCACGGACCCCAAACTGCCAGCCAAAGTTCTGCGTGTTAGCGCCTCCTCCCATATCCATCTCTGAGTCCGGCAGGCCGCTTTGGCCACTATCCGACGAGCCGCCCAAGAACCACGGTTCCTCCCCCTCCGGGAACGAAATCACAGAGTCCAGATGTATAAGCACTTTGTATTGCAGAGTCTTGGGCTGGAAAAGCGCCCTCTACTCCTCCAGCTCCGGCACCGCGAGCCAGCGGCGGGTGGGGATTTGCTCCGGGTCCGCCGTCCAGGCCAGCAACTTGAACGCCGCAAGATCTGAGCGAGCAGAGGTCTCTGGCGCAACGGAATCGATGATACATGCACCGCCCAACAAACTCTCAATCACCTCAAGCTCCCATGCGTGCGCCGGGATCCCCTCGATGACCAACCTCACCTTGAAGCGCATGGCCGCGAACACCGCCTGCGACTGCCTGATCCACTGCCGGAACGACAACCTGTGCCCATCAAGCTCCAGCACCGGCCGCCTGCTCAACAGATTCTTGTCCTCCTGTCTAGCAAAGACCACCAGGAAATCCTCCGGCCAGAACTTGTGCACCGAAAATCTGTCCTCAGGGATGCCCATCCTGTCTTTCAGAGCACGCCTCACCAGCTCCGGCGAGATCTCCGACCTGTCCCCACCAATGTACACCACCATGGCTTTGTGAAGCCGGTGCTCAATGTCATCCATGGCGCGGGTCCTCCTTACAACGCACAACTCTGACGGCTCCATCTCCGGATCAACCGCCACCTCCAAGCGCGGCACGGCAAGCCGCGGCCACACCGGGTCCGCCGCAGGATCAGCCAAGGGCGGCAGTGGTGCGGCCCTGGCAGAAGCAGCGTGCCTGGCCAACCCAGACCCCACCTCGTCCCGCGGCGCGGAACGGCGAGCCACCTTAGCCGCCGCATCCCGACGGAGCTCCTCCACCGGCGACGGGCTGCGCGGCCGCTTGCACTGCGAGGCGACATGGCCGGGGAGCCCGCAGCGGAAGCACACCACCTCATTGGTGCAGTCCTTCAGAAAGTGCCCTTTTGCAAGACACCGAAAGCACTTGTCCCGCATCTCCGGCGAGACCCCCTTCCTCACCGGCGAGGGGCGGCGCGGAGCCCCAGCTGGCAGATCCGCACCCACCCTCCTCTTCCACAGGGTCTTCTTCGAAGCAGGGGCCGCCTGCCATGGGGACACACGCCGGCAGGTCTCCGGCACGGCACCCTCCAGCAGAGGCGCGGCCGGTGGCGCGCCGGGCGCCAACGGGCCAGCCACGTCCTCGGCAGATCTCTCGAAGCCGAGGAGATCCCCAGACCAGAGACGACAGGCCTCTCCCGAGGGAACACGGAGTTGACGGAGCGGGGGCTCTCCGTCATGGCCAGGAAGCAGAGAGCGGGGGCGGAGAACAAATGGGGAGGTGGCCGGCGCTGCCGGAGCGGCAAGCGACGGGTTAGGTGGACGCCGGCGTCGGAGTGACGCACGGGGGAGGGAGGGCTCTCACGCTACGGAAAGAGAATGGCAACCACCTTTGTTTCGTTCAATGGGACGGCCGCAACTTGCAGCTCCTCCTGGTTCCAGCATCTCGTGCTCCTGGTTCCAGCATCCCGTGCCATCTGGTCGCAGCTTTGCTCTTGCCGGTTGTAGCATATTGTACTGACGGTTCCAGTATCCTCACTACTGGTTCCAGCAAAAACCCGCCGGTAACAACTTCGGCAGCACAATCAACTGTTGGTTCCAGCATCCCACATCATTAGTAGTAACATTCCGCACTGTTGGTTCCAGCATCCCTGTCACACGTGGCCGCAATGGTTGTAGCACGTAGCCGTGTGGGTTGTCGCCCGTCCGAGAGCCCGCAGACCATGCCCACCTTGCTTGGAATCAGCTAGGGAGGGGCTCGCGGCGGCGCCGCTGGTGGTGCGGGTACAAGGGGTTCAGAGTTACACTGAATTCAAGAGAAAGAAGATACAGAGGAGGAAGGAGGGGATGTGATGCGGATAAAGTGAGGGAGTGCACGCTGCTGGTTGCAAGATCTCGTCCGATCCAAACAGTCTGTGCGCGACCGGCGTAAGACTCGGACAGTTAGCTTTTGTAATTCGTTTCCCTTACCCAAAAGTCACTTTTGTAATTCTGGAGTTCTGTGTTCTATCAGGTACTCCATCTGTAAATGATCTAAACGTTCTTATAATTCTTTACAAAGGGAGTACTAATTAGTTTACGCTTTACTTTTCAAGATCAGCTCTAGTTCCTAAAATACCAGGCTGGAGTTCTTTGTCCTATCAGGTACTCCATACATAAATAAATATAAGAGCCGTTTAGATCACTAAAATAGTGATCTAAACCCTCTTATATTTCTTTACAACAGGAGTACTAATTAGTTTAGGTTTTACTGTTCAAGATCAGCTCTGGTTCCTAAAATACCAAGCTAAAGAAAACCAAGAGATCCGAGCACATGAGACAGTTGCAATTCTCACTACCAACTTATTTTGATGTTTCAACATTCCTGAATATATTTTACATTACATGAATGGCTTAAATATCCTATCCGATGTATAATTTTTCCCAGTACCTACAAGAATCATAGTGGTCACCGTATAATCTCAAGTTTACATCCCCATTATGTCTACCATCTGTAACTTGGTACCTCCTAACATAGGCGAGCTCTTTTTGCCGACTCTGTTTGCAATTTATGATATAATCAGCAACTAACACTTCTGCGCAGACCTAGATCATCTTGAGGGTTTTGAAGGCAACTTCTTTACCAGGCTGGTGTCACCGGTTACCAAGAATCGAGCACCTTTCACTAGCTCCTCCTTGATCATAAAAAGGAGAGCAGAAGCAAAAACACTCTGTACAATTTTTGTGCCCATTCCTTTATAAAGCCCTGACAGGCCTTCATAATGCATCATTTTTGTGATTGCATCAAACGTGCCTGAAAGAAGGATATCACAGAATGACATATTTTATAGGAAAGTAAGTAACAACAGGAAATAGTAATCGGAAGAGAAGTAGAGGCTTGCTGGAAGAAATAGGAACTGACACACAGTACTGACTCAAAATTGAAAGAAAAAAAATGAATGATGCCCGATCATGTACCTTTGTAGCGATGCCTCTTGTCATCATCGATCATTTGCTTCGCCTGAAGTCTTGCCTGCAGCATAAACATGGTTCAGTTCAATATACATGCACAAATATGCAGCGGAAAAGTTGCACTTATATCTGCTGCACCAAATAATCACCTTCACAACTAGAAGAGGATATGTAACAAGAGTTGCACCCAGTTTTGCAACAGCTCCGAGAAGAAAAACCTGAGCATGTGTTTTCATGAACGAGGTTAGCTGTTACGAATTTCCGTAACATAGTTAACTAACAAAGAGATGCTAGTATTAGAGCAGCACATCAAAATGCCAAAGTGCTTTCAACAAATCTTGTTCTCTTTTTATAGACTAGATATATATCATGAATGAACAAACTTTCAGGTATTCAGAAGTAATAGGTCCAGGACCGTCAGGCCCCAGCAACAGACCTCCTAATAATCACTAAAAATAATTCACCAGAAAAGCTATAGCTTACTTCAATAGCAGTCAGTCCCTGAGCCCCCTTAAAATTAGAGGCACGTCTCTTCTTCAGCTTCTTAAGAAGAGTCTCGTACAGCATGAACTGAATTGCGGGATTGCTGACCTAGTAGCAGGTAAAGCTTGGTGAACAACCCTTGTAAGACCACTGAGCAAAAGAAAGTGCGAAAAACAGAGACTTATACCATAATAAGAGCTGGAATAACCCCTTTCCAGAAGCCAAACACTCCAGCTTCCTTGTAAAGATCCTGAATCTGCAGATAGACTAAGTCAATCAACCATACTCCAAACTAGTTCATAACTGTAGCAGTTGAGAGCGGCTTTGAATTAAGATAACGTGTGAAATAACAGCCTTACATAATAAATAAATAAAAGACAACAACAAAAAGAAACATGAATTTGTTATGTGCCTTCATAAAGTAACATAATTGAACATTTACAAGATTCAAAGAGTTGGCTCAGACGATGTGCCTCTTATTGAGAATACAAACCATATACACTTTGTTGTACGATACATGCAGCAACATAGCAATGATGTGAAGAATATATCATGTATCATTTTAGTGCTTACTGTTCAGCTAGTGAATCCTGACACCCTGTGGAACCAGGAACCTGATACTTATAAACAATTTAAGGCATTACCAATTCTCACCAGCTGGACGCCTTCAAATAAAGGGCGGAGAAAGGGTGAATTTATCAGTTTGAAATCTTAGTGATTATAAGGATATATGTGCCTTGTTACCAGATGATAACCTTATAGGCTTCTAGCTGATGCCAAAGGTTGTGACTTAGGAAGAAATGACATACTAATGAATTATAATAAAAGAAACGTGGATGTACACGAACAATCTGTTACAAGGTAAACATTCATATCCACGTAAATCCTTAAACAGATATTCAAGATGCAAAATAAATAGTACTCCCTCCGTCCCGAAATATGTGCCGCTGACGGAGGGAGTACTATTTATTTTGCATCTTGAATAGAGTTGGAGTAGCACCGATTGAAGAGAAGCTTGTCCAACATTGTCTGAGATGGTTTGGGTATATTCAGCGCAGGCCTCGAGAAGCTCCAGTGCATAGCGGAAGGCTAAGGTGTGCTGATAATGTCAAGAGAGGTTGGGGTAGACCACCAAGTTTGACATGGGAGGAGTCCGTAAAGAGAGATCTGAAGGACTGGAATATCACCAAAGAACTGACCATGGACATGGGTGTGTGGAAGCTAGCTATCCATGTGCCAGAACCATGAGTTGGTTGCGAGATCTTTTGGGTTTTTCAGCTCAAGCCTACCCCAACTTGTTTGGGACTAAAGGCTTTGTTGCTTTTTTTTTGACAGAGGGAGTACTTAATAGTAACAGAGTCCAGTCACAACCTTATAATCCCACAAACTACTTAATAGTAGTGTCACCTTTTCCCAACATGGGTAAGAACAGACATTAATCAGACATGTAGTAATCAGCAAAATGTAATTGCATCAATAGTGTCTTATCCTAGAGGGAGAATGATCAGAGATACGTACAACATTGATAGTTTTATGAGGGACGTTTTCCACTGGGGCAGGTTGTAGGGCCTTATCAAGAGCAGATGTCAAACCCTGATCCTGAGGGCCTTGCTGTTTGTTTGCCTTTCTGTGAGTCTGCAGATAATAATAAATTAGTATTCAGGATATCAAATGATTTCCACTAAAGTCAGTTGACTGGGAAACACTGCTCCGAGAAACTGGCATTTCCTTACTTGCATTCGTGTGACAACAACCCAAATTGGGTTCGTGAGAAGTACATTAACGCATCTGCAAAAAGCAAATGTGCAGATTTGGAATCAAAAGCACAAAAAGCTCATCATCATAGCCGCAACCTTTTAGAACACACAGTACTATGAGCTTACAGTAATTAAGTCCAGGAAAAGACAATGCGAAAGCATGAGGTCAACGATAGATGCACAAGTAATTCGAATTACCCAGAAAGTGCAGCGACAGTGAGTGATTGGAACATCCCGACGGATCCATCCCCAATTCCTCTAATGGATCGCCGAAGGGATGCTGCCTCCGCCCTGCTCCGGAATATTTGGTAGAAGAAGTAGTAGACACCCTAATAGCACATCAATTTGATGCAGAAGCGTGTAAAGCATCTCCTCAAAACCAAGGCAGGACTTATTCATAAGAGGAAGAAAAACAAGGCAGGCAGGTCGTCGGTGAATCGAGCAAGCAGCGAGCGAACCTGAGACGCGGCGGTGCCGACGAGCGAGGGCGCCAGGCCGCCGTAGAGCCGCTCCCACCCCTCGTTCTGCACCACCTACTACAGCAGAAGAGGAGATCACGGAAGCATTAGAGTCGGATCAGGGCAGATTACGCGTCAGCCCGGACGAAGAGGAGAAGGGGGTCGGGGGGAGGAGGAGGACCAGGCACAACTGGCGGACGGCGCTGTCCTTGAACGCCGGCTTGGAGGGGTCCCGCTCCGTCTGCTGCCGCGCGTTCACCTGCCGCGGAAACCCTTCCCCGTTCAGCACGCGGAAGCAACAACAACAAAGGGCGAGCTAGCGAGCGAGCAATCTGGGGCGCGGGGAGGCGGGACGTACGGTCTGGAGGGGGTAGGTGAGGAGCTGGGCGACGATCCCGCCGCCGGCGCCGGCGAGGCCGTTGATCAGCGCGTCCGACATCTCCACCCCGCCACCCCGGTGGATCGCCGCCGCGGCGTGGTGGGCGTCCCGAAGACCCCCCGCCGCCTCGGCCGCCGGTTGCTTGCCGGGCGTCGCTGGATTGCTGCCGTGGGAGTGGGAGAGACGGAGGAGGCGTGGTCTCCCCGGTTCGGTCCCGTGCTTTACTGGTACTGCCCTGCTTCCCCTTCAAGTTCAGACGTCTGCATACTGTAGTACTGCTACTCGTCAGCTCGTGTCCCTCCGCCCACCTTTTAGTACACGTTTTTTAAACCAAAAAAATATATATCCGGGCTTCGTTTTAGTTTTTTCTTTTTGCTTATTCAATTCGATTTAGGTTTCGTTCCGGTTAATTTGAGTTGATTGATGGGGAGTGGCGAGAGGAGTTCGCGCTTTGCACGAGGAGGATATCTCACGCCTTGGCATCTTGCCAGGAAAGCGCAGTTTGTACATTTCACAAGTGAAGGCCGGACAGCGATGCTTTGCTTTGTTTACCACGCCAACAGCCCAACACACAGTCAGATGTTTGATGTTTGTTTCGTCGGCTTCCATTCAGGCATGGATGCCCGAATATACTGCTTCAGTTGACTTTTTTTTTCTGTCGCCCTGAGTGCATCGTTAGATGAGGTGCTGACCAGCCACAGTGGAAGTAAGTTCAACAGTAACATCAAGTCCAATTCAGCCATTTTGTTTATGTGATAATGAGTTAATGATAAGAGAGGTGATTTTAGTAACTTAGCTATTACTGTAACATCACATGTCCCAATGCAATATGAGTCTATAACCTAATAATTGAAGCTTTGCATAACACCACACTTATGTTACTACCCACTACTCAGCGATATGTGTATGTTACTAGTGTATGTTACTCTCCATTGTGGCTAGTCTAAGCATATTAGACCTCCTCCAATGCATTGATGCTAAGGTGAGGTGTTAAGTGCATTAATTGTCTTAGCAACTAAGACTGCTCACAGTGGGGAGTAACATAGAATAGTAACTTACCGATGTTACTAGTCTATGTTACTACCTCCATAGTGGGTAGTAACAAATGAGTGGTATCATGAAAGAGTTCATTTATCAGGTTATAGACTCATTATGCCTTGAAATGTGTGACATTACAGTAACTACCTAAGTTACCACAAGCCCCTCTCACCTCATTAATTAACTGCCACATAAGCAATTTTGTATTGAAATATGTGATGTTACTAGTTAAGTTACTCCCATTGTGACTAGTCTAATGTCCCCAATGCATGGGTGTTTAGCTTTTGTTGCTAAGCTTGCTTTATTTAATTTTTTATCAACAAAACTCCTTCATGCATTGGTCGGTAGGTATTTTGCATAGGTTCACGTGCTTAGAACCGTTTCCTCATGGAGTCATCATAATGCTCTCTCTCCTTTTTAATAGATTTGCCACATCATTTTTTTGCTTACGTGGCACCCTTAGCACCCGTACACGGTGGAGCACCGGGAGAGGCCCCCAATGCATACGTCCATTTTGCATCATGCTTTTATATCGATATTTATTGCATTATAGGCTGTTATTACACATTATGTCACAATACTTATGCATATTCTCTCTTATTTTACAAGGTTTACATAAAGAGGGAGAATGCCGGCAGTTGGGATTCTGGGCTGGAAAAGGAGCAAATATTAGAGACCTATTCTGCACAGCTCCAAAAGTCCTGAAACTTCACGGAAGTCATTTTCGGAATATATAAAAAATACTGAGCACAAGAAGTTCCGGAGGGGGGTCACACCCTGCCCACGAGGGTGGGGGCGCGCCCGCCGCCACGAGGCGGAACCTTGGCGGAACCAATCTAGGGCTCTGGCGGAGCTGTTCTGCCAGGGAAACTTTCCTCCGGAAGGAGGAAATCATCGCCATCATCATCACCAACGATCCTCTCATCGGGAGGGGGTCAATCTCCATCAACATCTTCACCAGCACCATCTCCTCTCAAACCCTAGTTCATCTCTTGTATCCAATTCTTGTCTTTAAGTCCGGAATTGGTACCTATGGGTTGCTAGTAGTGTTAATTACTCCTTGTAGTTGATGCTAGTTGGTTTATTTGGTGGAAGATCATATGTTCAGATCCTATATGTATATTAATCCCCTCTGATTATGAACATTAATATACTTTGTGAGTAGTTACGTTTGTTCCTGAGGACATGAGAGAAGTCTTCCTATTAGTAGTCATGTGAATTTGGTATTCGTTCGATATTTTGATGAGATGTATGTTGTCTCTCCTCTAGTGGTGTTATGTGAACGTCGACTACATGACACTTCACCATTATTTGGGCCTAGAGGAAGGCATTGGGAAGTAATAGGTAGATGATGTGTTGCTAGAGTGACAGAAGCTTAAACCCTAGTTTATGCATTGCTTCGTAAGGGGCTGATTTGGATCCATATGTTTCATGCTATGGTTAGGTTTACCTTAATACTTTTGTTGCAGTTGCGGATGCTTGCAATAGAGGTTAATCATAAGTGGGATGCTTGTCCAAGTAAGGATAGTATCCAAGCACCGGTCCACCCACATATCAGATTATCAAAGTACCGAACGCGAACCATATGATCGTGATGAAAACTAGCTTGATGATATTCGTCCTCGGGAGCGCTTTTCTCTATATAAGAGTTTGTCCAGGCTTGTCCTTTGCTACAAAAAGGATTGGGCCACCTTGCTGCACTTTATTTACTTTTGTTACTTGTTGCTCGTTACCAATTATCTTATCACAAAAGTATCTGTTACCTATAATTTCAGTGCTTGCAGAGAATACCTTGCTGAAAACCGCTTATCATTTCCTTCTGCTCCTCGTTGGGTTCGACACTCTTACTTATCGAAAGGACTACCATAGATCCCCTATACTTGTGGGTCATCAAGACTCTTTTCTGGCATCGTTGCCGGGGAGTGAAGCACCTTTGGTAGGTGGCATTTGGTAAGGAAAAATTTATATAGTGTGCTGAAATTTACTGTCACTTGTTACTATGGAAAGTTATCCTCTGAGGGGCTTGTTTGGGGTATCTTCACCCCGACCAGTAGAGCAAAGAGTTGCTCCTCAACCTATTGAACCTACTGAAAATGAAAATGTCTACTTTGAGATTCCTTCGGGTATGATAGAAAAAATGCTAGCTAATCCTTTTGCAGGAGACGGGACAATGCATCCTGATGAGCACCTAATATATGTGGATGAAGTTTGTGGATTATTTAAGCTTGCAGGTGTGCCCGATGATGTTGTTAAGAAGAAGGTCTTCCCTTTATCTTTGAAGGGAGATGCATTGACATGGTATAGGCTATGTGATGATATGGGATCATGGAACTACAAACGATTGGAATTGGAATTTCATCAGAAGTTTTATCCTATGCATCTTATTCATCGTGATCGCAATTATATATATAATTTTTGGCCTCGCGAAGGAGAAAGCATCGCTCAAGCTTGGGGGAGCTTAAATCAATGTTATATTCATGCCCCAATCATGAGCTTCCAAGAGAAATAATTATTCAAAATTTATATGCTCGGCTTTCTGATAATAATCGCACCATGCTCGATACTTCTTGTGCTGGCTCTTTTATGATGAAGACTATTGAATTCAAATGGGATTTATTGGAAAGAATTAAACGCAACTCTGAAGATTGGGACCTCGACGAAGGTAAGGAGTCAGTTATGACACCTAAGTTTGATTGTGTTAAATCTTTTATGGATACCGATGTTTTCCGTAAATTTAGCACTAAATATGGACTTGACTCTGAAATAGTAGCTTCTTTCTGTGAATCTTTTGCTACTCATGTTGATCTCCCTAGGGAGAAGTGGTTTAAATATCATCCTCCCATAGAAGTAAAAGTAGCTGCACCTATTAAAGTTGAAGAAAAGACTGTCACTTATAATGATCCTATTGTTCCTATTGCTTATGCTGAGAAACCACATTTTCCTGTTAGGATAAAAGATCATGCTAAAGCTTCAACTGTGGTTCGTAAAAGCAATATTCCTAACTTATACACCTCCTGAGCAAATTAAAGTTGAACCTAATATTGCTATTGTTAAATATCTCTTGTCTGATAATATTGATGGGCATGTTATTCATTTCTGTGATGAAACTGCTAGAATTGATAAGCCTTGTGCTAAAGATAAACATAGACATGTGGTAGGCATGCCTGTTATTTCTGTTAAAATAGGAGATCATTGTTATCATGGCTTATGTGATATGGGTGCCAGTGCTAGGGCTATACCTCATGACTTATACAAAGAAATTATGCATGATATTGCACCGGCTGAGCTAGAAGATATTGATGTCACAATTAAACTTGCCAATAGAGATACTATTGCACCAATTGGAATTGTTAGAGATGTTGAAGTCTTGTGTGGGAAAACTAAATATCCTGCTGATTTTCTTGTTCTTGGTTCCCCACAAGATAGCTTTTGTCCCATTATATTTGGTAGACCCTTCTTGAACACAGTTAATGCTAAGATAGATTGCGAAAAGGATGTTGTTACTATTGGTTTAGGTGATATGTCTCATGAATTTAATTTCTCTAAATTTCGTAGACAACACCGTGAAGAGGAATTGCCTACTAAAGATGAAATTATTGGTCTTGCTTCTATTGCCGTGCCTCCTAGTGATCCTTTAGAACAATATCTGCTAGACCATGAAAATGATATGTTTATGAATGAAAGAAGGGAAATAGATGAAGTGTTCTTTAAACAGGAACCCATCCTGAAACACAATTTGCCTGTCGAAATCCTAGTGGATCCTCCTCCACCCAAGGGTGATCCCGTGTTTGAGCTCAAACCGTTACCTGATACTCTTAAATATGCTTATCTTGATGAGAAAAAGATATATCCTGTTATTATTAGTGCTAACCTTTCAGAGCATGAAGAAGAGAGATTATTGAAAACTCTTGAAGAAGCACCGTGCTGCTATTGGATATACTCTTGATGATCTTAAGGGCATTAGTCCCACAGTATGTCAACACAAAATAAATTTGGAGAAAGATACCAAACTAGTTCGTGAT